CACGGCTCCTACTGGGATCTGAGCTTGAAATCCAGGCAGATGCCCTGACCCAGAATCGAACTGTGACCTCCTGGTTCACGGGTGGACACCCAACCACTGAGCCTTGCCACTAAACTGGGCGTTCATTGTTCTTAAGATAAAGTTCTGGATGGGCCTGAAGCCTCACAGTCCCAGGACCACCCGGAGCCCCCCAGCTCCTGCACTCAAACCCCTCTGGCCGCCTCCTGTCCCACATGCTGCCCCCCGTCACAGCAGCTCCCACCTCCACCGCCCATGCCCAACAAGCCAACTTCTCAGAACAAAAGTCACCTCTTGTTCTGGCCAGTTTGGCTCAATGGAGAGAGCATCAGCCTGTGGACTGAAAGGTCCCAGGTTCCAACCTGGTCAAGGGCACAGGCCCAGTAGGGGGCCTGCAGGAGACAGCCAATCAATAGTTCTCTCTCATCATTGATGTTTCTCTCTCTCCCTCTCCCTTTTTCTCTGAAACCAATTATATATATATAATTCTCCTCTTCTCTTTATGCATCTTTGGTGACTCTAAAGGCCATTTATATTTTTCTCTATCACTGGCTGGATTGTTGACTTCCTTGTATCAATTTTTACACAATTATCGAGTAGGGATATTAGCTTTCTGTGATATGAGCTGTAAATATTGTTCCTAATTTACCTGTTGTCCTTTTTTATATTTTTTTTTATTGGTTTCAGAGAAGGAGGGAGGGGAAAAAGAGAGATAAACCAGTGATGAGAATTGTTAATTGGCTGCCTCCTGCACACCCTGGGGATCAAGCTTGCAACCCCAGGCATGTGCCCTTGACTGGAAGCGAACCCAGGACCCCTCAATCTACAGGCCGACGCTCTACCCACTGAGCCAAACCAGCTAGGGCTACCAGTTGTCCTTTAACTTTGCTTTTATTGCCATTCCTAAGTTTACTAGTAGTATTATAAAGTCAACATTCCAATCTTTTGTGGCTCAGGCTCTTGATTCATATGGAAAGACCTTCCCCACTCACCCGGGAGTTAAAGTCCTCCCCCAATCACGCTCTGGCAGGAGCTGACTTTCTTTGTATTCCCCAACCAAGGCCACACTCCGCGGCAGGACGAGGACACGGCAGACGAGTGCAACCCGTCAGCCAGCCAGACACTGGAGCTTCGCAGAGATGCAGACCAATGCCACTCTTCCACTCACTGCTTTTGTTTTAGGAAGTTTGATTTTTAAATTTTATATAAAGTGATTATGTAATGGAGTTTTTAAATGAAGTAATACATTTTTTAAAGTTAAAAAAAAAACACACAAAAAAACCCTTCTCCACTCAAGGTTACCATGAATTCACCCAGGTTTTCTTCCGGTATCTTTATGGTTCCATTTCTTAATATGCGGACTTATTAGGTGACCTTCCTAGCTTCCCACCAGCTATGGCTTCCCTGTCCTTCTTCACGGCGCTTCTCCCACAGCAGGCAACTACTTAGGATTAAATCAGTGTTGAATGCATGTCGGCCTCTAGGCCGCCAGCTGCACCCAGGCGGGCAGGGACTGGCTGGTGTGTTCACCAGAGGCCCAGCTCCTGTCTCAGGGATGGAAGAGCAGCACTGATAATGCTTACCAACTGAACAGTCTCCTTCCTAGCTCAGCTCGGGCCCACCCCGCGGTGCTCCCAAATTAACTGGGTACCCAGAGTGAGGTAGGAAGACAGATTACTGCCTACTGAAGGGGAAGGAGAGCTTCAGGTGGTGGGTGGTCAGCTGAGTTCTGGGAACAAAGCCATCTGAAGTCCAAGAGCCATCTGAAGATGCTCTTTCCAGGGCATCTTTTTCCACATCTGCTCTCTGCAGGGAAGCCCTGCCCAGATCCCACTGAGAAGGTGAGGCCTTCCCATCCCCACATTCACCTGCTCCTGGTGCAGCCTTTGAACCTCCTCCAGCTCCCGCTGGCTCCCCTCTTCCAGGTTCTTCCGGACAACTTCAGCCCCCGCCAGGGCGGCTCGCAGGCCCTCGGCCTCAGCTCGGCCAGCCTTCTCTGCCCGGGCCAGGGCCTCCAGCTCCATGGCCTGGGTCTCCAGCTTCATCTTTTGCTGTAGCGAGGTTTCCCGAAGGACCCGGACTTCCTCCTCAAGCCGTCGCAGCTCCTGCAGCTGCCGAGAGATCAGCTCTGCCTGCTGGCGCAAGGCCTGTGACCCCTGCTCCACAGACCTTGAAAGACAGGGTGGCACAGGTGAGACCTGTCTCGGAGGCTGGGAAGGTGACCCCAGAAGAGATCCCTCTGCTCACGTGGGGAGATGGGGGAATGAAGCTGGACTTAGGAGTCTCTGCATTTCCATCACCATCGCCATTCACCAAGGCCCTGCTAAGCATATCAGGTCTAGTCTCTGGGCTCATGGCTCTCTAGCAGTGAGCATCAACTGTGTCCCACAATTCTTAAAACCTACAATAACTGACCTCTTTTTCCTTAGATTGCCAAGTAAAAAAGATGACAACAGCTAACACAATAGCTGTGGGGTGTGAGCACTTGGTTTTGGACCATAAATATATAAATCACGAGAGTTGTACCTTATTGGTCACATCGAATAAGGTTGCATCTGATTAGTTCATTCTTGCTATCAGAAATCCTTATATACAAGTATAGGCACCTAACTTTTTATAAAATGTTTTCATTGTTTTCAGAATGGGAGATGGAGAGATAGAATATCAATAGTGAGAGAGAATAGTTGATTGACTGCACGTCAATAAACTACGCAGTCCCAGCCTTCAGCGAAGTCTCCTGGTGCCCATACAGCTTAAAACAGCAGTCGCCAACCTTTCGGACCTCAGGGACCATGGGTTGGCAACCGCTGGCTGAAAGCGCCTGGGACCCAGCTCTTGGCGCAGCTTCTGACTGAGGCCCAGATCTGAGGCAGGACTTCAGCAGAAACGACAGCCTACAGAAACTAAGTGAATGGCCATAGGACTGTAGCCAAGCTAGGAACTGAGAGCCTGTGTCCTGATCAGCTCTGTGTGGTCATCATGCTCCTTGCCCACTGGTGGGGCCCAGGGAGACCCACCCGCAATTCCACTCCAGAGCACAATGCGTAACGGCCTGCTGGTTTATCAGGGAAAGACACGCAGGAACCACCAATACGCAGCTCTACGGACAACACGTCAACAAACAGCAGGGCCCGCTCCGACAGCACTACCCACCAGAATGAGCCCATACTAGCAGTCTGAACTTCATCCTCTGCCTTATTATGGTCAGCTGTTGGTCAATGTCTCCTCCCTTGGAATTTTAAGGAAATCACTGATACCAGGATTTCTCCTATTTGTTATCCCCACCGCTAGCCTCTAGCATGTTCTTCTTACTATTTATGGATTGTAGGCACCAATAATTGCTATGGATAAATGAACAAATTATGGAACTAAGGTCTGGACTAGGGTAAGGAACCTATTTCAGTGAAGAATGGTCACTGGCAAGCAAGCCTGAGAAGTGGCAATGGACCCCTACCTGCCCCTCCACCCCGGCTCCTGCCCATCGCCAGACACGTCCTGTTCCCACATGATCTCTTGAGGCCTCTGGATGTCTGGCCGCCTCTCTGAGACACCTCGATGGGCCAGGGGAATGTCTGAGACCCAGGTGGGGGCCATTCTTGGCAGGGTTGGAAGGGGCCGAGCTTGGAAGTGGGATGGAGGGATGAGCCCAGTGGAACCTGAGGAATCACAAGGACAAAGATGGTCAGTTTCCGGGGAGAGACAACACTGGTCCCCTGCCCGGTCCCACTGACCTGAAGGTCGAAACATCTCCACATTATATGAAGCCTCTAGATTCTGTGTCCAGCCATCTACCTTCCCCTGGACAGGAGGAGAAACAAGGACACTGCAATTCAATGCTCCTTCCAAAGAGAAAGCCCCTGAGACAAAGTCTCCGTCCTCAGACAGAGCCAGGCCCCGCCGAGCTCCTCTTCCTACTTCCCAGAAGAGACGCCCACAGACCACGCTGGACCCAGCCTGGCCCCTGGCAGAACCACGGCCACAGCCAGGGTCGGGGGACTCTACTGAGAGGCTGAGGGGGTTCAGGGTCCGGGCGCGCCTTTACCCTCCTCCTCAAGTTTCTACCGACTCTGCCATTCCTGGTCGCGCGTGAGAACGGTGTGCAGTGCAGGGGCTGCGAGCCCAGGCTCCAGAGACCCCTCCAAGGCTCGGCAAGGCCTGGGGGAAGCCCATCCACACACCAAGCCAGGACCCCCGGGTCCCTCCCGACTAAAGGGCTGGCCCAAGGCCTGGCCCCGGAGGGATGTGACCGTATGCCCGGCAGCTCGGCTCCCCAGGACCCCGCGGGGTCCAGGCTGCCTAGAGCCCCGGGCAGAAAAGCCAGCTTCCGGACATCTCACAAACCTCCCAGCAGCTTCCGGTTCCTGTCCACTAGCCCGTCGGCTGCCCACCCGGCCGCCCACCCTGCTCCCGCCAGAGCCTGGGCACCGAGGCTCAAAGCCTCCCACCCTCCCACCCAAATTCCCCTGTCCCCCCAATCTGCGAGTCCTACCGCCCGCCCTGCCCTCTAATCTGCTTTCCTCCTGAGGGCATTGCCCGGCTCCCTCAGCTCCTCCACAGCCCGCTCCCGCCCCCCGCCCCCCACGGGCTCTCAGCCCCACCCCTCCCGGGACATGGAGCTTCGCCCCGCTGGACCCTGAGCGCTAAGGCTGTTCTGCACCTCGTCCGTTCCGGCACCGCCCCTGTCCCCTCTACCCCGACCAGCCCCGGGACCACCCTCGAGGCCCCGTTCCGCCCCTTCCCTCCCCCAACCGCCGCTCCCGAGGCCCTCACTTAGCGCGAGAGCCTGCACCGAGCTCCGGCCGGCCTCGGCCTGACCGCGCCTGCGCAGAGCGGCCGGTGGCGGGCCGGAGGTGCACGCAGGCGCGGTAGTGTCTAAAGCCGGGCCGGAAGCCGGCGCTGCTGTCTCCGCGCCCTGGCGGCTCCTCCCAACTCCGGGGACCCGGGAAAACTTGTAAACCAATCAGAAAAGGCTGAGGCGGGACCTGCGTTTGACCCTGACCAATGGAACGGAGGAGACCCGAAGCTGGCCAATCAGGAACGGCACGAGGCAGGCTTGCGGGAGCCGAGTTCGGACCCGGGAATTCCGAAGGCGGGTCCGCGCTGCCCGCGCGCAGAGGCCGCGCCCCCCCGGGCCCCGCGCCCTTGCTGTCAAACAGCTGCGGAGCGCCCGCCGGGCCGGAGCCCGAGTGTCCCGGACGCCGCACCGGTCGGCACTGCCTGCAGAGACCGTACCACGCGGTAGATCCGACCCTGAGCTGGGCTGGGGTGGGCAGAAGGCTAGGTTTGCCTTGCATCGTCTCGGGGAGCTGTTTCTCTCCACCCCACCCCGAGAAGCTGGGCAGATAGCGTTTAGGTCCAGGGTCTTGGAAACGTAGGGACCCTTTTTCTCTGCCTTTTGGGGGTGACAGTAGAGTCACTTCCCACTGGGTTTCAACCTAACTAGCCATGAGTGAGGGGTTGGCCAGAAGAGCGAGGCGCGGGCGAGCTGGAGGGCTGGCTACTCCCTTTGGATAAGCGGGTCTGACAGGAAAAAGCTATTTTCTCCAAATGTCATTGCGGCGATAAGTTAGCATTGCAGAATTAGGAGCACACCAGTTTACAGTTCCCCGGAAGCTGCCTAATGGTATGTTGCTTCCAACAGATTGAAGGCTCCCGGAAATTCTGCGGCCCAAGGATCCGGCTCATCCAAGGTGTCACAGTGCCCCGAATTTTTCCGCTTTTGGAGCTGCTTGCCAGCCATTTTGCATCGCGTGCCTAGGACCATTGCATTCTGGATTGGCTCAAAGTTGGAAATGCACAAAGCATAACTCAAGCTTGCACCAGACAGAAAGTGAGCCTAGCCTACCGTGCATGGATCTCTGAAGTGGAAGAGGTGTGCAGCGCACCGCCTATGCTGCCCTGCTTCCAGCTGCTGCGCATTGGGGGCGGCAGGGGCGGCGACCTCTACACTTTCCACCCCCCAAGCGGAACTGGCTGCACCTATCGTTTGGGCTGCAGGGCCGACCTGTGTGATGTGGCCCTGCGGCCCCAACAGGAGCCCGGCTTCATCTCGGGAGTCCATGCAGAGTTGCACGCTGAGCGCCAGGGTGATGACTGGAGGGTCAGCTTGGAGGACCACAGCAGCCAAGGTGAGCAGTAAGCAGTTCAGGGATGGAATGATTAAGGGGTTCCACAGGGGCCCTGCCTGCCTCCCTGTCAGGATGGATGGATGGTGGGCAAGGCAGTCATCCACGTTGACTCTTGTTGGTCTCCGTTTAGCTCAGACAGGCTGGGAGGTGGTTCCAGAGCCTGGGGCAGCATCAGGGAAATATCCGTGGGGTGTTGTGTGGCCACAGGGAGGGCGGAGTTGGGGGTTGGGGTGCTGAGCTCAGATTCCCGCCTTGCTGGGACGCTAGTTCCTGTCTTAGGCAGTTAGGATGTCTGTTTTAATGACATGGGCATGTCTTACTCCCTTCCGTGGAGGTAGTCACAGCCAGCCTCAGGCCGTCACTTCATCTCTGGGTGAAATGGAAGGACTGTCAAGTCCGTTTGAGGAGCGTGTGGGGGTAACTATGGTAGCACCTCCATTTAGTGCTTACTATTAAGCCAGGCACTGTTTTAAATTCATTGAATGTAAATGGGCATTAAGATCCCCACTTTACATACAGGGAAATGAGGCACAGAGGTTAACTTGTCCAGGGTCAGAGCTGGTAAGAGATGGCGTCAGGATTGGAACCCAGTCTGAGCTATGCTGAGTGGCAGCTGGTTGAAGGTGAGGATGTCTGACACTGGACCTCAATGGAATGTTCCCTCCCAGGTCCTATGGCCAGCTCAGAAAGAGCTTAGGACCTGATGCCACCTGCCGAGAGGCTCAGGAGAATGTGAGGATTTGCTCCCCAGAAAGTCAGGGCCATTTTCTCCACTCCTAACTGGTCTTTGCTTTTGTCATTTCCTGTTTGTCTGGTGACCCACCATCAACAGGGACTTTGGTCAACAATGTCCGACTCCCTAGGGGTCACAGGCTGGAGCTGAGCGATGGTGACCTTCTGACCTTTGGCCCTGAAAGGCCCCCAGAAACCGGCCCCTCGGAGTTCTACTTCATGTTTCAGCAAGTCCGAGTCAAACCTCAGGATTTCGCTGCCATTACCATCCCACGGTCTAGGGTAGAAGAGGGAACCGGGCTTGGCTTCCAGCCCATGCTGCCTCCCCAGGGGGCTCCGCAGCGGCCCCTCAGCACCCTGTCCCCTGCACCAAAAGCCACGCTGATCCTCAACTCCATCGGCAGCCTCAGCAAGCTCCAGCCGCAGCCCCTCACCTTCTCCAGGAGCGGGGGTGGGCCACCGAGCCTGCCTGCCCGCACTCCCCTTGGGAAAGAGGGGACCACCCCTTCTGCCCCGACCCCAAGAAACCGAAGGAAATCAGCTCACCGGGTGTTGGCAGAATTGGATGATGAGGGAGAGGCTCCCGAGAGCCCCCCAGTCCTTAGAGAGCCCAGGAAGAGACTCTGTGTAGAGACGCCACCGACACCCAGTGGGTAAGTGGTGAGATCACTGTCTGACTCCCCTGCCTTTCCATTCCTCAGGTTGGGAAGTGGCCCTGGCTGGGGAGGAGGTGGGCAGTGGGCAGACAATAGGTTGGAATGGCAACCAGGCGAGCTCTAGCAACCAGGCTGACCACTACTGGGTCTATCTGGACCCACTATTTTCACAAGGAAAAGTTCTAGGCTTCTCCTACAGGTTCTCGGTGACCAGGCGTTTTTTTTCTTCAGAAATCAACGTGGGCGTCCTCCAAAGCACCCCGTGAGCACCCCGTGACTCCTCCTGTGGTTGGGGGCGGGGAGCCCTGTGCAGCCCCTTGTTGCTGCCTGCCCCAAGAAGAAACGGTGGCCTGGGTTCAGTGTGATGGATGTGACCTCTGGTTCCATGTGGCCTGTGCTGGCTGCAGTATCCAGGCTGCCAGGGAGGCTGACTTCCGGTGCCCAGGGTGTCACATGGGCATCCAGACCTAAGGCCCACCACCAAGGAGCCAGATAGAGCTGGCCATGGGTGGACACAGTGGGTCCTAAGAGATGCTTCTTCTCTTGCCTCCCCAGGAGGGAATGACTACAGAACAGGGCCCGTTGCTATGGATCCCAGGCCTGGAACAGGCCCTTCCGGACAAGGGGACAGAGATGGCTTCCTGCCAAAGACAATGCCTTCAGGAATTGCCATGAGCTGTAAATTCCGTTACAAGTCATAGATCCTTACTTCATGGACACTAGAGAGCCCAGTGGTGACGGGCACAGCGGGAAAGGTCTCACCCTCAGTGTCTGATCATCAACTACAGAGACCACCTGTGCCTGATGATCAAGCCCCAGACCCAGACAAGTGAGTTCCCAACTTGGATGGCGCCACCTAAGGCATTCTGGGAAAACCTAGGGCACAGTTCCCAAACTCTAATCCTACGGCAGACCATGTTTGTAGCCTGTGGCCTGGCTTTTCAGAGGTTTGTTTCCATTTCCAAATAAAGAATGAAAATATTAATAATTTGCTGCTAGGTAGTTACTTCTTTATGGATCTGATACACATTGCTTTCCAATTCTTGGTAGAATGTACTTGGAAAGGTTTAGAAAACGTGAATTCTTAGGGGAAGAGGAGATGAGAGGAAAAGGTAAACAAATACAGACCTGGTCATTGAAAAAGTGCAAATAGCCGAAACTGATTTGGCTCAGTGGATAGAGCGTCAGCCTGCGGACTGAAAGGTCCCGGGTTCAATTCCAGTCAAGGGCATGTACCTTAGTTGCAGGCACATCCCCAGTAAGGGGTGTGCAAGAGGCAGCTGATCGATGATTCTCTCATCGACGTTTCTAACTCTCTTCCTCTCTGTAAAAAAAATTAATAAAATATATCTAAAAAAGAAAGAAAGAAAAAGTGCAAATAGGCCCTGACTGAATAGCTCAGTTGATTAGAGTATCTTCCTGATACCCCAAGGATCTGGGTTTGATCCCCAGTCAGGGCACATATAAGAATTAACTAATGATTGCATAAATAAGAACAAAAAAATTTAAAAAAGAAGAAGTGCAAATATATGGGATGAACTTGGAGCCTGAAAAAAAGAAACCCAGGTAATGAAGGGTTTGGTTTAAAGAAAACATCCACTGCCCTTACAGCTAGGTACTGGGTTTGGCCGGTTTCACGTAGAAGGCAAAACCTGTGCAGGCGGACCTGACACTGCGGGTTCGGCTCCAGACCACTGCACAAAGTGAGCCATCTTTCCCTCGTGGGGTCTTGCCCTCCATCTGACAAAGCTACCTGTGAAGGCGTGCCTGCACTGCAGGGCAGAGGACCCGCTAGAGCAGCCGCTGCCTGGACCCGTGTCAGCTCAGCCCATGTGGGCATTGCCTTACCCGGATGCAGGTCCACCCCTTTCCGCTCCTACCACGGCTTACCAACCTGTTTCCAGAGGAAGGAGCAAGGACCCCTATGTGGTAGCAGCAACGCGCGGAGGGTCTGCTGAGTCACTCGGACAGGACAGGCAAAATGAAGGGAAACCTCAGGGGCCCTGGCACCAAAGAGTTTCCAGCCGGGGCTCCAGGCAGAGGAAATAAGGACCTAAAGACTGGACTTCTTAGCACAATGCACCGAGGTCTTCCGAAGCAGAGAGGGGAAAGCAGAAGACAGCTCCTAGTGGGGAGTGGTCTGAGTGACCACATCTGTGGCAGAAGTAAGTCCAATCCCCTGGGACCCTGTGTCTCAAGCTCCTAAGAACTGGCTCTGCCTCTGAGGGCCACTGTGTGACTCAGCGGGCTCCGCGCTTGGGCTTCAGGGTCATCTGTGTACTGCCCCTCCCTTCAGTAACCAAAGACACAAGTATCCACCACTGTGTCCCGGGTTTCTTTATTAAAATCAAAGTGATAGGGGATTAAAATCAAGAGCATCACTGAACTTCACCTTCCCGCCCACCAGCTCCCCAAACTCCTGCCCCCACACCGTTTGTGCTCCCAACTCAGTGAGAAGAACTCGGCCCCAGAGCCCTGGGACTCGGGCTCTCTCCCTGGCTCCCTGGGAAGGAGGCGGCTCAGCTGGAGTGCATGGGGGAGCCCAGAGGGGTGACCGGCACTGCGGGGAAGGCCTCCCCCTCAGGGAACGGGACGGCGGAGTACAGCGCGGTGAAGTGAGGGCCTGGATAGCCCGGGCCAAAGTGGGTCCCTGGGGCCACAGGAAAGGATACCGGTGCCCCTGGGAAAGGAGGCCTCGGAGCCTCAAAATCCTCCCGCTGAGAATAGTCACTGCTTGATCGTTTGCCCTTCTGGCGCCGGTTGCAGAACCACACTCGGACCACCTGGGGGGGAGAGGGGGGTGACTTGTTTATAAACTCCGGTGGATCACTTACCACAAACCCAACAGACCCAGAGAGGCTGAAGGGCAGGCACGGGAGCTCGGGCCAGGGGGCGGGGGCAGGGAGCGTGGGGGGCACTCACGTCCTTCGCCAGCCCGAGCTGCTGGGCGATGTGGCTGATCTGCTGCAGGGTGGGCTTCGGGCACTGCAGGAACATGCTCTCCAGGTTGCCCTTCACTCGGTTCTCGATACTCGTCCGCTTTCTCTTTCGGGCCTGCATCAGGGTCTCCGCTTTGCATATCTAGGCACGGGGGAAGGGGTGACAAAGAGCTAGGAGGACAGACTTCGAACCCAGAACCCACGAGGTCTGATTCAAGAGCAAGTTGCTAAGGGCATTGGTGGAGGTGTCACCAGAGCGGAAGATGAGAAAGAAGGACCCTGCAAGGGCAGGCTTAGACCAGCAGCTGCCCCAGCCCGGCAGCACTGAGCCATCACCTCCCCCCAGGGAGGGCTGCCGGCCGGGGGAGCAGTGGAGGGAGGGGTGTCACCACAGGCCCCGGGCACCCGCCCTCCCTCACCTCCTGCAGGTTCTCATTGTTGTCAGCTTCCTCCACCCACTTCTGCAGCAGGGGCCGCAGCTTACACATGTTCTTCAAGCTGAGCTGCAGAGCCTCGAAGCGGCAGATGGTCGTCTGGCTGAACACCTTGCCTGGGAGGTGGGTTGAAAGAGAAGATAAGGCAACAAGAAAGGCCCTCGTGACCCCAAGACCCAGGGTCCCACACCAGGACCCACTTCCCAGACGGAGCTCAAGGCCCAAACATCTTTTCCTCCCTCTGCAGCCTCGTCCTGGGCAAGGACAGAGGCTGCCCCAGCACCCGCCCCTCCCTCCCTCGGTAGCAGAGGCCCAGGTTCAGGACTGCGGGGGGGGGGGGGGGGGGGGGGGCGGGGGCTGTGTTCTATGGGACTGGACAGAACAGAACATGCGGAGAGGACCCACCGAAGAGGACGCCCAGGGTGAGCCCCACGTCGGCCTGGGTGTACCCCAGGGTGATCCTCTTCTGCTTCAGGAGCTTGGCGAACTGCTCGAGGTCTTTCTGCAGAGCTCGCATGTTCTGCGGCGGGAGGGCGTGTGAGAACAGCACACCTCTGTCCCCCCTGCCCACCGGGCTGCAGGAATGCCTCTGCGTCCAGGCCACCCACCCAACGCTGAAACAACCCATCCACAGCCGCATTCACCCCGAGCAGCACACGCAGAGCTGCGGGCGGCTCACGGGGAGCCCTGCTGGGCGGCTCTGCCACCCACGAGGCTTCAGGCTGGAGGAACAGCCTAGAGAAATCAAGGGCACCAGCGCGAATTCTCATCCCAGATGCAATCTCCCAGATGCTTGTGGGGTCCCAGGCTGGACCCGGCCTGCGCACAACACAGAAAGCTACAGGTGCCCTAAGAGGCATGACAAAGTGCTTTGCATATAGCTGGTGAATTTAAAAGGTTCACTGTCCCCTTCTTCAATTGATGTTAGTGAGGTGTGGGTGTGGGGAGAGAGAAACATATATCCGCTGCCTCCTGCAGGCTCCAGACTCCCGAGGGGGGAGAGGAGGAGGGAAAAGGGGAAGGGGGAAGGGGGAAGGGGAGGAGGGGGAGGAGGTGGTGGTGGTGTTGAACCTGAAACCTGGGTGTGTGGTAATTGAACTCCCCAAAAAAGCCAACTATCCCTTGTTTTTATGTCTTTTTTTTGCAATATGGAAGCATCCTCAATGATTAATTCAACTGATTTATTCTATACCTTCTCTAAGCCAGTGGCTACACAAAACAGACCAAAAACCCTGGCCTCAGGAGTTTCCATGCTGGTGTGGAGACAATCATTGCTATCGGGTGTCAGCATGGGGAAAAGCGAAGCCAGGAAGAGGCTCACAGAGCGCAGCAGGGTGGGCATTAGGAGACAATGTAACAATGTCAATAGACGGAGGTGGTGCACCGAGCGAAGGGACCCAGCCAAGTGGGACGCCCTGAGGCGGGCGGGGGGCGAGGCGGGCAGCACGAGGCCCGCAGGTGAGTGGGATGAGTGGGCAGAGGAAGGGAAGGGCGAGGAGCCAGGAGATCAGAGGGGTGAGCAGGGCCGAAGTTGCATTGAGTTGAAATGATCTGACTCCCACATGGCAAGGTGTTCAGTCCAGTTGAATGGTGACCAGAGACTAAGGAGGAAGTGAGGGGGTCACTAGGGAGGCCGCTGCATTATCCAAGCACAGATGGTGGTGGCTGGGACAGGGTGGCAGCAAGTATTGGTTTGGGGCGTATTTCCAAGGTAAAGCTGTGGTTTTCCAAAGGAGTGGTCATAGGGAGACTGGGGAAATGATGCCTGGTCTGGGCCTCGGGCTCCTGGGCGAGGTGCAGCTGCTGAGCCATCCCAGCAGACGGCAAACGCAGCAGTCAAGTCTACGAGGCCCTTGAACCTTGAGGGTGGACAGCAAGGAAAGGTAGACGGGAGGGGTGGGTGTGCTGAGCCCAGGGCACTCCAGGGAAGAGTTAGGCCTTGTGCGCCCAGGAAGCCTTGAGGAAGTATTTCGAGGGTAATCAGTCACATCAACTTCACACCCGCTACCCAACCCCAATCCTGCTCAGCCAATTTCAAACCCGCAGCTGTCCCCATCAGGGCTCTTCCAAATCCCACTTTGGGAGTTTGAAGTACGGTAAACCCCAGCTCAATTCCTGGCTTTATCACTTAGCAGCTTAAGAGCCGTGAAACAGGCTAACGACACCTCCCTGGGAGAGTTTGGGGCAGTTAATGAGATAATGAGGTAGAAACGGAGCACACGGCCAGGCACTTAGGGAATGGGCCGCAATTGGCAGCCATTATTATTCAAGGCTGTGCCTCGGGCCTAGAGGCCGGGCTCCGGCCCGCGGAAGCCGCCCGCCCCCCCTCGGCGGGCCAGAGGCCTCGGCT